TCAGCCAGCCCAACGCACAGGGTATGACGCCCTTGGCTGCGGCAACGCAGAATCGGCAGGAGGCCACCATGCAAATCCTGAAGGCACATGGCGCACAGTGAGGGCGTGGGAAATTACCCACAGCCGTTTCCAGTGCGCCGGGAATTCGGAGTTTCATCGGGGAGATTTTTTTGTAGTTAATGGATTCCGGCCAGCTCGTGTGCTGTGTGGCTTTCAGCACAAGTCATGCAGACGGGGGCTGGCTACTATAGAATCCAGGATTTAATCCGCGCTTCTCAAAAAGGCGTGGTGCCGTTCATCTCATTGCTAAGCCTGGCGATGCCTGCACCCGAGTGCAAAGCACCAGCAGTCTGAAAAGTGCGCCGGGGGACACTGTGGGAGGTTGCGCGCGGGCTGCGGCTGAGGTCTTGAGATTGCAGCTCAGTGCCATGCACTAGCCCAGGGTCCAGATGGCGCGCTGAGCGGCGCAAGCTTTCCGCTTGAACGCCGCACCGGGAAGGCCACAATGCCCCACAGAAGCTTGAAATGGCCAAGGCTCAAAGAGCAAGAGCATTCTTTGTACCCGTTTGTCCGATTCCCTTGTGCTGCCAGAATGGCCACCGAGACGCTGAAGATTAGCGATGGCACCACCATGGAGATCTGCAGGCTGCCGGATGTGGATGACGAAACGTGGGCGGAGGTGCGGGCCTATGTCGAGAGCAACCCAGACACCGCAAAGTCTTTGAAGAGCTTTGCCAAGAACCCCGATGCCATGAGGGGCTGGCTGCAGACCCAGGCCATCGCAGAGCACTACAGCGCCAAGATGGCCAAAGGCGACACACCGGTCCAAGACAAGGTCAAGTCCTTGGAGTCCGATCCTGAGTTGGCGGCTATCTTCGAGGACATCAAGAAGAACGGCATGGAAGCGGCCATGAAGTACTACCAGGACGAAGAGTTGATGTTGAAGATCAGTCAGAAGATGGGCGGCCTGCCTTCCGAACTTCAGCCGGTGCTCCAGAAGATTGAGGACACGTCCTTGACCCTGCACGAGGCTGCCAAGAAGGGTGATCTTGCAGCTGTCCAGCAGTTCTTGGACAAGAACAAGCCCTTGGATGCCCAGGACCACAAGGGCATCACCCCGCTCGGCTATGCCATCGGTGCCAACCGCCTCTTGTCACAAACGCCCGGCAGTTTGGACACTTGTTTCCTTAGAATGATCAAAAGATGCACGAAGTTTGCTGACCGAAAGTGCTGACGAGGTATCGCCGTGGTGAAGAAGCTCTTGGACAGCAGGGCCAATCCGTACGCCGTGGACAGCAGCGGCAACAGCGGCCTGCACTATGCTGCCGGCTACGGCCGAAAGGAGCTCCTGGAGTACCTTCTCAAGGTGCAGGGTTCGAGAGCCTAATGAGGGGCTTACTGGAGCTTTTGTAAGGGATTGGATGATCGGAACCTCCACCTCCTTGAAGAAGCACTAAGCCACTAAGCCTCCGCAAGGTCGGGGCCAACGTCAGCCAGCCCAACGCACAGGGTATGACGCCCTTGGCTGCGGCAACGCAGAATCGGCAGGAGGCCACCATGCAAATCCTGAAGGCACATGGCGCACAGTGAGGGCGTGGGAAATTACCCACAGCCGTTTCCAGTGCGCCGGGAATTCGGAGTTTCATCGGGGAGAATTTTTTTGTAGTTAATGGATTCCGGCCAGCTCGTGTGCTGTGTGGCTTTCAGCACAAGTCATGCAGACGGGGGCTGGCTACTATAGAATCCAGGATTTAATCCGCGCTTCTCAAAAAGGCGTGGTGCCGTTCATCTCATTGCTAAGCCTGGCGAAGCCTGCACCCGAGTGCAAAGCACCAGCAGTCTGAAAAGTGCGCCGGGGGACACTGTGGGAGGTTGCGCGCGGGCTGCGGCTGAGGTCTTGAGATTGCAGCTCAGTGCCATGCACTAGCCCAGGGTCCAGATGGCGCGCTGAGCGGCGCAAGCTTTCCGCTTGAACGCCGCACCGGGAAGGCCACAATGCCCCACAGAAGCTTGAAATGGCCAAGGCTCAAAGAGCAAGAGCATTCTTTGTACCCGTTTGTCCGATTCCCTTGTGCTGCCAGAATGGCCACCGAGACGCTGAAGATTAGCGATGGCACCACCATGGAGATCTGCAGGCTGCCGGATGTGGATGACGAAACGTGGGCGGAGGTGCGGGCCTATGTCGAGAGCAACCCAGACACCGCAAAGTCTTTGAAGAGCTTTGCCAAGAACCCCGATGCCATGAGGGGCTGGCTGCAGACCCAGGCCATCGCAGAGCACTACAGCGCCAAGATGGCCAAAGGCGACACACCGGTCCAAGACAAGGTCAAGTCCTTGGAGTCCGATCCTGAGTTGGCGGCTATCTTCGAGGACATCAAGAAGAACGGCATGGAAGCGGCCATGAAGTACTACCAGGACGAAGAGTTGATGTTGAAGATCAGTCAGAAGATGGGCGGCCTGCCTTCCGAGCTTCAGCCGGTGCTCCAGAAGATTGAGGACACGTCCTTGACCCTGCACGAGGCTGCCAAGAAGGGTGATCTTGCAGCTGTCCAGCAGTTCTTGGACAAGAACAAGCCCTTGGATGCCCAGGACCACAAGGGCATCACCCCGCTCGGCTATGCCATCGGTGCCAACCGCCTCTTGGCACAAACGCCCGGCAGTTTGGGCACTTGTTTCCTTAGAATGCTCAAAAGATGCACGAAGTTTGCTGACCGGAAGTGCTGACGAGGTATCGCCGTGGTGAAGAAGCTCTTGGACAGCAGGGCCAATCCCTACGCCGTGGACAGCAGCGGCAACAGCGGCCTGCACTATGCTGCCGGCTACGGCCGAAAGGAGCTCCTGGAGTACCTTCTCAAGGTGCAGGGTTCGAGAGCCTAATGAGGGGCTTACTGGAGCTTTTGTAAGGGATTGGATGATCGGAACCTCCACCTCCTTGAAGAAGCACTAAGCCACTAAGCCTCCGCAAGGTCGGGGCCAACGTCAGCCAGCCCAACGCACAGGGTATGACGCCCTTGGCTGCGGCAACGCAGAATCGGCAGGAGGCCACCATGCAAATCCTGAAGGCACATGGCGCACAGTGAGGGCGTGGGAAATTACCCACAGCCGTTTCCCTTGCGCCGGGAATTCGGAGTTTCATCGGGGAGTTTTTTTTGTAGTTAATGGATTCCGGCCAGCTCGTGTGCTGTGTGGCTTTCAGCACAAGTCATGCAGACGGGGGCTGGCTACTATAGAATCCAGGATTTAATCCGCGCTTCTCAAAGGCGTGGTGCCGTTCATCTCATTGCTAAGCCTGGCGATGCCTGCACCCGAGTGCAAAGCACCAGCAGTCTGAAAAGTGCGCCGGGGGACACTGTGGGAGGTTGCGCGCGGGCTGCGGCTGAGGTCTTGAGATTGCAGCTCAGTGCCATGCACTAGCCCAGGGTCCAGATGGCGCGCTGAGCGGCGCAAGCTTTCCGCTTGAACGCCGCACCGGGAAGGCCACAATGCCCCACAGAAGCTTGAAATGGCCAAGGCTCAAAGAGCAAGAGCATTCTTTGTACCCGTTTGTCCGATTCCCTTGTGCTGCCAGAATGGCCACCGAGACGCTGAAGATTAGCGATGGCACCACCATGGAGATCTGCAGGCTGCCGGATGTGGATGACGAAACGTGGGCGGAGGTGCGGGCCTATGTCGAGAGCAACCCAGACACCGCAAAGTCTTTGAAGAGCTTTGCCAAGAACCCCGATGCCATGAGGGGTTGGCTGCAGACCCAGGCCATCGCAGAGCACTACAGCGCCAAGATGGCCAAAGGCGACACACCGGTCCAAGACAAGGTCAAGTCCTTGGAGTCCGATCCTGAGTTGGCGGCTATCTTCGAGGACATCAAGAAGAACGGCATGGAAGCGGCCATGAAGTACTACCAGGACGAAGAGTTGATGTTGAAGATCAGTCAGAAGATGGGCGGCCTGCCTTCCGAACTTCAGCCGGTGCTCCAGAAGATTGAGGACACGTCCTTGACCCTGCACGAGGCTGCCAAGAAGGGTGATCTTGCAGCTGTCCAGCAGTTCTTGGACAAGAACAAGCCCTTGGATGCCCAGGACCACAAGGGCATCACCCCGCTCGGCTATGCCATCGGTGCCAACCGCCTCTTGGCACAAATGCCCGGCAGTTTGGGCACTTGTTTCCTTAGAATGATCAAAAGATGCACGAAGTTTGCTGACCGGAAGTGCTGACGAGGTATCGCCGTGGTGAAGAAGCTCTTGGACAGCAGGGCCAATCCCTACGCCGTGGACAGCAGCGGCAACAGCGGCCTGCACTATGCTGCCGGCTACGGCCGAAAGGAGCTCCTGGAGTACCTTCTCAAGGTGCAGGGTTCGAGAGCCTAATGAGGGGCTTACTGGAGCTTTTGTAAGGGATTGGATGATCGGAACCTCCACCTCCTTGAAGAAGCACTAAGCCACTAAGCCTCCGCAAGGTCGGGGCCAACGTCAGCCAGCCCAACGCACAGGGTATGACGCCCTTGGCTGCGGCAACGCAGAATCGGCAGGAGGCCACCATGCAAATCCTGAAGGCACATGGCGCACAGTGAGGGCGTGGGAAATTACCCACAGCCGTTTCCCTTGCGCCGGGAATTCGGAGTTTCATCGGGGGGATTTTTTTGTAGTTAATGGATTCCGGCCAGCTCGTGTGCTGTGTGGCTTTCAGCACAAGTCATGCAGACGGGGGCTGGCTACTATAGAATCCAGGATTTAATCCGCGCTTCTCAAAGGCGTGGTGCCGTTCATCTCATTGCTAAGCCTGGCGAAGCCTGCACCCGAGTGCAAAGCACCAGCAGTCTGAAAAGTGCGCCGGGGGACACTGTGGGAGGTTGCGCGCGGGCTGCGGCTGAGGTCTTGAGATCGCGGCTCAGTGCCATCCAGATGGCATGCTGAGGGGGGTCGTTGTAACTTTGGGGCTTCAGTGCATGTTTTGAGGAGAACTGCCTTCCCGAAGCCCTGGGTCTCACTACAGTATGGGCTGAGGCTGTCCAGCCTGTGACCGGGAGAACACCTCGATACTCGATCTTCGGCTGGTTCCTTGGCCACAAACCACGAGTTGTGTCGGGGACTCGCTGTGATCAGAGTGACACGAGAGAAATGGAGATATGAGTGAGAATGAGTTCTTGTAGATTTTGAGAGGAAGAAGCTTCCAAAGCTCCAAAGCGCGTTTCACTGAGCACCCAAGCGCAGCAGCAGGTTCCTGCGGCCAGGCGGGGGGGGGTGGGGGGGGGGAGGCGGCAGGGTGTGGAGGGGGGGGGGAGTTCGCATGCGCCTCCTCTCTTACTCTCTCTCTCTCTCTCTCGCTCACGTCACTCTCTCACTCTCACACTCACTCTCACTCTCCCACTCTCTCTCCCGAACGACATGTACGTTTTGGTTTAAAGTAGAGGCTCGGTGGGAGGAATCTAGCAAACTATGCTTAGATGTTTGTGTACTGTTTGTTTTGCGATTGATCATCTTGGAGTCGCGGGTGGTTTTTTGAGGATTCTCGGGTTGGATGCGCTAGTTTTAAGATGTTAGGCAGCATGCCTGGCATCACTGAATCCGAGGGGTCCAGGTTTCAAGGATGCGGCTCAGGAGCACTTGGCATCACGCGGGTTTCACCATGGCAGCAGACGGACTTCACCCCGCTCAAGCTGCGAACCCCCGCTTGCTCCCGAATCTCGTCCAAGCTCACAATATCCCCCTAGAATGTTCCCCAATCATCCCCAATCCTAATCCCAACTCCACATCAGCTTCAGGCAAGCTCTACAGCCTGGAGAGCGGCTGTTGATCCTGACGACTTTGTAGAGTTTGCGTAGTTCTTGCAGATTCTTGCGTCTGCGTACTTGAGGGATAGTAGTTCGGGCCAAGTTGTGAATTTCTCAAGCTTCGAGAGTTCGCGGGTGGTGGACATTACGTTGGATCTTTGTCTGGCCTCTGCGGGCTTTGGCAGACAACAGCGTTAGAACCGCAAGAACGGCTCTTGCTGCCGGGATATGGCTGGACTCTATGGGCTTTTCTGCCCTAGGAGGATTCAGCAGGCGACGGCTAAAACACGGCTAAAACTGAGCCGATTCGGAAAAAAGCCTTGCCCGGGGCTTTTGGGGGCTTTCTGAGTGTGTTGCTCCTGGTTCCAGGAAGGCCCAAGGGGTTGGAAAGTTGCATGGGTTGAAGAAATGTTGAAAAAGCGCATGTACGTACACGAAGTAACTACACTTTGGGTGCATGTGCTTCTTCCCCGAAGTCTACTTCTCCGCAGCTTTTGGGCTGAGGTGGATGGGCATGCCTTCGAGGGCTGTACATTTGACTGGATATCGGATGGAGCCCAGATCTCCAGCAGTCAAAGCTTTTGTGCCCCGTGTTCAGCCCGGGACATGTCCGTTTGCAGGGTCAGGACCCCGAAAAAATTGAGGCCGGGATCTGGGATGTTCAGAAACTGGGGAGATGGCTTCTTTTAAGGTCGCATTGAATTTCTACAGATTCTATACAGGTATTGGCGGTATCCACTGATTGTCCTTTCGACCGTTCGCGCCGAGCTGGCTTCCCGCCATGCCTTGCGCGGCAAAAGTGCGGAAGAAGCGCAGCCCCCAATTTCCGTGCTGGGGGCTGCTGCCATTTTTTTCGACCCCTCGACCCCTCCATCAGCCTTGTCGGTCGAGTATGAGACATGACCACATGACTACCACATGACTTGACACGACACAGAAGATTTTTGTGGCGATCTCTTCTCGGCAATGTCCTCTTTTCGAATTTTATCATCGAGTGTGGCCCAGGCTCTGCATCTGCTGCAACAACTGTGGTGACAACGAGGACGCATTTTGTGATGCCTGGTGGCACGGTGGTCAGCTGACGGTCATCTCATTTCGGCAAGAGACCAAAGAGGCCAAAGACCGCTCCGCCCGCAACCCGAGCGAAGCCTCTTACTGCTGTTGAAACCGAATTGCGACCCTCGGTCATCGAAACAGCTCGCTCCCGTTAAATTCGCTTGAGCGCCCACCCTCAGGAGTCCGGATCCGACACTGACTCAGAGAGTGGCTCCCGGGGATCCAGCGCATCCTTCTCCTCCTGCGATGAGCCGGCTGGCCCGAGTTCAGATGCAAGATGAAAGCTTTCACATGTCGAATCCGAGAGACTTTGGAAGTAAGGGGAATGCCAACAAGTATTTGTTGAATAGCTACACGAGCGCACAGGGGCGGGTGAATCCGGGCGAACCACCTGACAATCACCGAGGGCAATGCCCCGCATTGTGCATTTGGAAGTGTATGATGCAGGGAGATTGTGGGAGCCACCGCCTTGATAAGTGGCCTGAGAGGTTGCTTGCCATCGACTCACTCATTGAGCCTCGCAAAAATAGGGAAATTGGGGCTTGTGGGAGTATGGGAGCAATGAGTGCTGAACGGAAAGGCAAACGCCCTGAATATGGCGGAGACTGAGGTCGGAGTGGGCTCTGGCTTCCTCGCCCCAGCCGCCAGGACCTCGGTGTGAGGACCCCTTGCGCGCGGGCGAGCCGAGGGTTGAGGAGATGTGATGTCATCGGCAGATGTGACGAACCCAAAACTGTAGCAGCAGTTTGTCGGAGACCTTGAGCTGGAGAGCCTGGGGACTGCAACGTTCGGCGAACGAAAAGAAAGTTCTTTCTCTACATTTCCATAGGAAAGCTTCGACATTTTATTCGGAAATTTTCTAGCTTCTCTGCGTCTGCTTACATGTTTGTATAGGAAGCCTCGATTTTCCTCTACGTCTACGTTCACTATTTTTCTTGCACATCCTCCATATTTGATTCGGAAAACTTTTCTTTCCTCTACATTCTACAGTAACTTTACACGTATAGACAGACAGAAGGCAAGAACGAAAGAAAGAAAGAACTAAAGAAAGAAAGAAGTAAGGAAAGACACGAAGAAATAGCGGAATAAGGGAAGAAATAAAGATATAAAGACATGCTGAAGAAATAAAGAATAAAAGACATAAAGGTATAAGGAAAGAAAGAAAGAAAGGAAGCAAGAAAGAAAGGAACAAACAAAGAAAGAACAGAAAGAAACAAAGAACAAAAATGAATAAAGAAAAGATGTACGAACAAACAAAAGAACTAAAGAACGAAAGAACGAAAGAACGAAAGAACGAAAGAACGAAAGAACGAAAGAACGAAAGAACGAAAGAACGAAAGAACGAAAGAACGAAAGAACGAAAGAACGAAAGAACGAAAGAACGAAAGAACGAAAGAACGAAAGAACGAAAGCACGAAAGAGCGAAAGAGCGAAAGAGCGAAAGAGCGAAAGAGCGAAAGAGCGAAAGAGCGAAAGAACGAAAGTACGAAAGTACGAACGTACGAACGAACGAAAGAACGAAGGAACGAAAGAACGAAAGAACGAAAGAACGAAAGAACGAAAGAACGAAAGAACGAAAGAACGAAAGAACGAAAGAACGAAAGAACGAACGAACGAACGAACAAAAGAAATAACGAAAGAACGAAAGAACGAAAGAACGAAAGAACGAAAGAACGAAAGAACGAAAGCACGAAAGAGCGAAAGAGCGAAAGAGCGAAAGAGCGAAAGAGCGAAAGAGCGAAAGAGCGAAAGAACGAAAGTACGAAAGTACGAACGTACGAACGAACGAAAGAACGAAGGAACGAAAGAACGAAAGAACGAACGAACGAAAGAACGAAAGAACGAAAGAACGAAAGAACGAAAGAACGAAAGAACGAAAGAGCGAAAGAACGAAAGAACGAAAGAACGAAAGAACGAAAGAACGAAAGAACGAAAGAACGAAAGAACGAAAGAACGAAAGAACGAAAGAACGAAAGAACGAAAGAACGAAAGAACGAAAGAACGAAAGAACGAAAGAACGAAAGAACGAAAGAACGAAAGAACGAACGAACGAACGAACAAAAGAAATAACGAAAGAACGAAAGAACGAAAGAACGAAAGAACGAAAGAACGAAAGAACGAAAGAACGAAAGAACGAAAGAACGAAAGAACGAAAGAACGAAAGAACGAAAGAACGAAAGAACGAAAGAACGAAAGAGCGAAAGAGCGAAAGAACGAAAGAACGAATATGAACGAACAAGAATCACACAAAACACGAGCGATCAACAACTACAGAACCATTCCGGAAGGACATAAGAGTATCACGATTGAAGCCCTCATGCGAGTGTTGTGTTAAGTGAAGCTCTGGATGGTGCTGGTTCTCCTGCAGTCCTGCTTGGCGCCGCGACCTTCCGACATGCCTGCGGGCTTCTGCCCCCTTTTCCTGGCCAATCAAATCACATTTCATTTCACGCATCCCATGGCCAATGTCTTGTAACCCCATCCTAGGTTTGTGCCGCCCCGAATAGTAAGAGCTGGCTTGTTCGTCTTGATAGTATATGCGATATACTTGCCCCGCCCCCCAACCCCCCTCCCCCCTGTCGGCCTTTGTCTCTGTATTTAGAGCAAACTTGCTTTGCAAAGAAGACCTTGCCATGAAGAGAACTGGCACTTCAAAAACATACGAATTTTCCGGGGTGGTGGGGAGGGGCTCTGACCCCTCCCGAATCCCCCCGCGTCTATTTTTAAATGTATTTTCAAAGGGTGCAAGCTGTGAAGAGCATGAGCCCGTGATGGTGCAAATTACATAGTAACCCCTTCCAAAACCGAAATGCGATCATTGTGTTTGCAAATGGTTCAAAAACATTGTGTTTGCAAATGGGGGAGGCTGCCCCCCCACGCCCAAGCCCCTACCGCCATGCCCTTTCCGTGAGAGTAGAGGGTTGCCTTCGGAATTCACGGCGACTTCGGCTTAGGAGTGGTTTAGGGACTGAAAACCTGTAGCTGTGCCCTCCTTGTCCAGTCGAGGCGGCAGAATCAGGAGTGGGATTCACTTTTCTTCACCCCGGACATGCTGGCAGCTCTTCTGCACTCGAAAGGTGTATTTGGGAAGAGAGGGGGTACATCGGCGCATCGAGTGGGTTATGGCGATCGTTGGCTGCACCTTGTTATGACATAATCTCACTAATAGCTCTCATGCTGAGATTCATGCAGTGCGTGTGGCTCTTTACAGGATGCCGGGAGAGGCCATTCCTACTGTGACACTAGCGTATACTAACGTTAAACAACTGTGGTGGCAAAATAGAAGCGCCCTAAACGAGACCACCGATGTATCGGAGATTCTGAGACCCACTTAAGGCCCCGGCGCTGGAGCCTGTCTCGCAGGCACTTCTGGGAGTCCGCAAGTTTGAGGTATGGGGCTCTTTGGGAGGGGGTTGGTTTTTTTTTGCTTGTTGGATGAGTGGAGTTGGGCTCTGGCGTGTCAAGGGGGTGGCTTAGAATCCTTCGTGCTATTGCCCAAGGTGAAGACGTGGAGTGTCTCCTGTCAGCAAACCGCAAGATGCCCGATTGTATAGCTACCCTATAGCCAGCTAGAACCCTGTCGCTCAACGAGCGCCAAAAAGTCACTTGAAAACAGCTGCCAGTCTGGAGGTCTCCAACTCCTCAGATGCTCTCATGGGCAGCATGCCCGTTGGCATCTGAGAGCTTTCGTTGCGGCCGAAGCAATACAAGCAATACCCGTCAAGTTGGAGCCGGGGGCAAGTTGATGTGGGAGTGCTGCGCAAGCTGTGCGGAGACGGAAATGTGAACTGGAAGCTGGTTCTGCCTCGGTCTCATCCCAAGAAAGATGTTGAAGCCCAACAGCCCAAACGGCACAGGCATCCCCCAAGCCGATGATGCAGCAGCAGTCGCTCATCCTTGGGGTCGGGAGCTCGAAATTCCGTGAGAGAGGTTCTGTCCTGCTTCAGGGGCTTCCTCAGTGCTTCCT